GTAAGAGTAAATTACCGTAGTCTTCATCCTCCTCGTCATCTTCGTCTTCATGCTCGTCTTTAGGACTTTCCTTTACTGTTTTCGCCTCAGAGCTCACCAAACCAATCTTTCCGTTCTCCTTCTCTTTCTGAAAACGTAACGGTAGATACTTTGCGGGAAAAAATGCATATGGGAGATCGAATTGTTCTAGACCTCCTGGATATAAAATCCCCCTGAAGCGAGAGGTATGTAGCGTTTCAACAAACGCGCTAGGTGCTCTCGAAAAAAAAATGAAACCGGAACCTCAAGTGTGATGTTGGAACGCAGTGAAACCAACCGGCTGGGTATCATGTTGTTTACTTTTCGATGGTTTATCGTCTTCGGAAAACTCGGCGTCACCTTGTTCTTCACTGACGTCAGCATCTTCGTCCTCAGTCTCTGCAAAGGGTTCAATCAGCTCTTCTAGGGAGGAGTCAGCTATTCATGAGTCGAAGCTGTTCATGATTGGAACTCGAAAAAAGCAATTGGAACGTATTCTTTTTTGTACACCTCCAGGTCTTTTTTCTACTAGCAGGAAAACAAAAGAAAGTCTAGAGAGGACTTCATTGCCAGAAGAGGTGTCAATCAGCGCCTTGTAATTTGCGCTCTAATGAGGACAGCGATGGGACCACTGAATTTTGCTGAAAAAGAATTCGAAGGCGTACTGAGGCAGGTTTAGCGATAAAGCGCCTAACAGCGTTTCACTGCCCGTGCGTCGTCGCGTCTTTGCAAAGTCTGAACGCTCCCTCAAAGGGAAATTCCGGGGTTACTTTACACATCAGTGAAAAAGGAAGTAGACATAACCGCAAAAAACACCCCAAATAAGGTACCCTTTACGCTTTCGAACATCGGAAGGGCATGCAAAAAGCGGTGAGCGGGTAGACACCGGGAGCTTGGTGGAGAGGTCAGAGAAGAAGGATGGGAGAATAGAAACATGACCGAGGTGACAGGCACTGACGCATTCGGTAGTGTGTCTATCCTTGGGTGACTTCGTTACCGGTGGGTGGCGTTGTTCAGATAATTGACGGCCTCAGAACCCTCGCCACACATTTTCGAGGCTTGAAAGTGGTATGAGCTCTGTCACTACGATTCGGGCTACCGTATACAAGGAAAGGATGCTCAATCGAACAAAATGTGTATTGGGCCAAGTTTGAGAAAACCTCAACTGTAAGCTGGTCGAATCAGCGCTCTTTCTTTAGAGCTCGGGAGGAAGGACCAATAAGTATTATAATCTGAACCAACCAGGAACTGCTGGAAGACTTTCAGTTGGTTGATATCCGGTGGTGAGATCGTACTTGAGTATTTCCGATTCGACTGATGTCGTCGTGTCGCGAACAGAAGAAGCGCCACCCTGAAGCGATCCATAGATCAGTTTCAAGTGCAGTTCGGCTTGGGAAGGGCATTGCTACTTCCCATCGTTGTGTTCAATGCTTTACAGAGTTGACAAGTATTCTTTACAACTTGACTGGTATCACTTCATGGCTTCACAAGATTTCACAGAACTCTACTTGATGGCTCGACGCGACGATGGGAAGTAGAGAAAGTACCAAAGCCCCTCCCAAGCCGAACTGCGCCCAAAAGAAAATTTTACAATTGCAACTCACATGCACTCAGTAAGTGCTTCAACTAACCTTGACCTCTAGCTGCCGTGGTCGATTAACGTCAACCAGATAGTACACTTGTACCTCTGAAGCTCCCGCAAAAATATCGCGATCGATTTCCACCTCT